GGGGGGGGGGGGGGGGGGGGGGTCACAGGGTGCCCATGGCCCCTTTTTCAAACCCCCAAAAAAATCTATGATATATGTTGGTGATTAATTAACATATCTTTTATTGTTTCGTTCTACATAACGCTTTTTGTTTCAATTACAGCCGTGTACGTTGTTTTGTTCCCCACTATCGACCATGACCTCATATTGACGTCATATGACGTCATAGTGACAATTTGGTATGTAAGGACCCCCCAATTACAAATCCTGGATACGGCCCGTGACACATTACTCTCAAATTTTCAGTAGTTACTAAATAAGACATTCTCTTTCGATTTCTGGAGTCGGTTTGCTTGTAGCTTGAATTTTTTTAATGCTAATTGAGGAAAAAACGTAAACAAAGATCTCAGTTCATAATCTTCATCAGCGGGCTTCCTGTGTTTATCTTCGGTATTAAATCGAGACGCCAAGCTACTCAGAACGAAACTCATTCAACAAAGAAAAACCTTGGCTTTAACTTTTGTTTTTTTCGAGTCCTATGGTAAGTAATCTTTTATTACACTTAAATGAGCATAACATGATAACTATTTCTATATTATTCAGTAATTTTTTCCAATAACGACAATGTGGGTGTCCACTAAAGTAAAAGGTGCATGTTTTTACGTAGCTAAGCTCAATACAAGGTCTTCTTCTTAGTTTTTTTCTTATTTTGTAATCTATCCTGCTGCATAGAACTTAGGATCGAGATCTCCTATCCCTATCTACTCTCTTCAAAGTAACTTCATTAACCTCATGATAGCGGGGTTTCGAAAATATGACTTTTTTTTCCGAATAATGCTTTAGCAATTACGATTGCTAATGCATGAAGGTTAACCTTATCTAGACATGTTTGTGTCGATCTATTCTTTATATTAATTTGCTCAAGCTCACATACGTTTGGAAATATGAAACTAATAAATAAACTTAAGCTTAAATTTTTTCTATAAAAGCGATTGAAGTAAAGCGTTCTGGTGAAAGACCTTATAAAATCATGGATTAAATAATGATCAATAACGCCTAGAGATTCTTATTCTTTTAAAATCATAGTCACGATGCTTTGCCCAGGAAATTTCGTGTGTAATTTTGCTAGGAACGTGCTAGCGCTTAGTTCTGTTGAATTATGAGGCACTGCTCACTGTTAATTGCATATAATCTATATATATACATATACACTCAATTAAAGAATCGTTGTCAGGTTCAGAAACATAGAACCTATAGAAGCTGAGATCGAAATGGTACATGGGAAGTACGTTAATTAGATGCATGCTGTGATCGGCGACCCGTGGCATCATCCAATGTTTTTAATACGTGTTTGGCATTATAAATCAACTGCATGGATGGCGCAAATGAATAAATTATAATATAATTATGTCATTTCCCTTGTGCCATTTTGGTCTCAGCTGTTATATTCTATGTTTCTGAACCCGACAACGATTCTTCAATTGAGTGTATATAAAAGGACTGAAGCAAAATACATGTAAGCATGCATGGTTGATTTAGTCTAATATTACTACAATGTTAGATATCACAATTAAATTGTGACTTCTGACATTCGAGCTTGTGTTAGTTTACATCATGTTTACATGTAGCTTCAGGACTTCACTAGCTCTTATACTAGTACATGTACATGTCAAAAGAGTGCCTCATATTTATATATCATCGACTTGAAAGATATATATACTTTTTACAGAATAAGAACGTGTCACATTTCTCAGGCTGAAGTGGTTCTATTGGAAGCTTTATTGGCTAAATTCCAGCCTGGAGGTTCTTTAATACCTGTGTACCTCTTTGTCAACTTTTAAACGTTTACTGAAAACCTGGCTCTTTAAGCAAGCATATCCTGATCTTTGAGATGTAGCCTGAGTCTGTATATAAGGGTACAAGCCAGGGATACTTATTCTTAATACATTCACTTATTTTATTTTATTTATTCTATAATAACTTTTTAACTGGCCATAAGTTTTTATTTTTTTATTTTATATATATATATAAATTGTTAGTATATCTTTGTAAATAGTTATATTAATTTGTTTTATGTATA